AGTTATTAATTATTAATTTAAGTGAATATTATGTAATATATATATTAGATTTAGAACAACAAACCTATTTTGGACTCTATCGAAATTAAACCCGAAATTAGCCTAAAATCATCAACCCGAACTCGCGCCGAATTAAACTCGGGTAGTGCTCGGGTTGAATTCCCCAACCCGAGGTAGGGTTAGAGTTAGAGTTAGGATTAAAGATTATATACCTAAAATTGAACTAGAGTTGATTGTCTAACCCACCCGAATTACAACCCAAGTTCACAGTTTTGCCCGGACAAAAACTCAGCTTGGTGGGACATCTTCAATAGTGATGTCGGTGTTTGGGCATTACCAAAATGGATGAGATAAAGGTAAATTCATCCCTTCAATGACAAGTTAGAATCATTTTATCTGATATTTATTCTTCAACAATTCGTAAACATGTTCCCAAACAGACAATTAGAAACTGAAGTGGCATTCATCATGCTCATGGAGATAATTAACTGTCCTAAGTGGGAACTTGACCCTAGATTCCAAGACAAATTTCCAAAAGTAACCTTTAACTAGGTCTTAGGTAGAGGCATGTCAACCATGAATTTCTTCAAAATCAAAGCTCAATAGGGGCATGCTTGACAAATGTTATTAACATCTGGAAAAGTTTATAGTATGAAAACTTACTGGAAAATTATACTTTGACATTTGTAATTATAATTTTTTTTTACATTGTTTTCCCAACTATCATATTTTTTACGTTGTACTCTCAATTATGTGATTTTTCACATTGTCCCAATTATTAATGTACTTTACAAAATTGCCAAAAAATTATTTTGTTTTGTCCTCTGAAATATGTGATCTTTTTCACTTTGCCCCGTCAAATTGGCTATTTTTGTTCAAAAAAAATAGCATACGTCTATAATTTAAGCAATGTGGAATAATTCAAATAATTAAAGGGGTAGTATTAATAATTCACTAGTTCAAGGGATAAAATAAAATTAAGCTCATATTTAACGGGGCCAAAGTGTAATTTGTCCAAACTTAATTTTTTGGTACCATAAAAAAAAATTAATCATAGATTTTAATTTAAGTTATTCATAGTCAATGATCATGGAAATAACAAAATTAAATAAAATCATAAAATTTTACACGTGTTACACTCGAATTGGACAAAAATAGAAATACAGTACAAATAAATAAATAAATAAAGTTCATACCCTATAATAGATATTTAGTGTCACTCTCTCAAACCATGTTAGTCAAATATATATTTAATATCGCAATAATGCCAAATCATCACTTTCATATAATATCACTATTCAACTAGACATCACCAAACAAATAAAGTCCATACCCAAAAATTAAAAACTAAAATTCATTGTTTTTAGTGAAAAAAAATTATTTAAACTTAATTAGAGAGACTAATTAATTATATTTTGTAGATTCAAAATGGGTTTTATTTAATATTAAAATTTTAATTAATTTAATAATTATAATAAATTAAAATTTTAACTAAATACTCAAAAGATGATGAAAATAAATAATAGTGATGATAGAATGTGACTATTTGAACAACTCCAAAGGGAGTTGCCATTTTAAGATGTCAAATCACTCATTTGTAATCTTGAACAGTATTTTGATATTCCTGAATTATTAATTTATTTTGATGACAAGTGTTAAAATAGGGTATCATTTTAATATTTTTTATTGTTATTAAAATATTTTAATATATTTTAACGAATATTCTCTTGGAGTTGCTCTTAAAAAATATAATTAAACTCATTTATAATCTCTCCCTTGCTCTCTCTAGAGTTGCCAAATTTGACACTCCAAGAACATAGATGTTATTTTCCAAGCCTTAAAACCATCTCCGTTGAAATAAAAAATTTTAAATTTAAGATAGTATTTTAACAATTATGACATTGTCACCCTTGTTGTCACTCCCTTTTAAGTCGCTGTTAAACCAAATATTTACTTCTGGTGGCCTTACATACATCTACTGCAGAGGATTGGACAGTGAGTGTAATAATTGTACATATGGTGGGACATTGTTGCAATAGGATTCACGTGAGCAAAGCATGACCACAATTTACTCCAAAGTAACTATCAGCCTGGTTTCAATAAATTATGGCCACACTTGGTGGGAGGGGTTGTTAAAGTTCACACCAACTATAGTAACTTTTAAACCCCAAACAAAAAAAATAAAAACAAAATAGGAAAAACATGGCATGTGTAAAGTTTATTTTACTTTACATTTTATCACTAGCTATAAAAATAAATTAAAATAAAATTTATGATTTAAAATAATATTTTTGTATAGTAACAAAAGATTTTTACAACATGATATGCAAGAGATTTTTTTTCTTTATGGTACCGAAAAGAAAAATTTTAGTAATGTGTTGATTTTTATTATATTTGTGGGTGTTTTAACATTGTTGGGTTACAAAAAAAAGTGATAAAAATAATTATTATTAAAGTAATAAAATACCCACAATAATAGTAAAAATGATCACAAATCTGATAAATCATCCAAAAAAGTGATTTTTTTTTGTAAAGAAAAAAAATAAAAATAGTTATCACAATAGTAGAAAAAGTACTCACAAAAGTAATAAATCACGTATAAAATTAATAAATTTTTTGATTATAAAATGACACACTAAAATTATAAAAAAAACTCATTAAAGTAGTAAAATTTGTAGGTACAATACTAAATATTTTCTTTTGTACTTAAGGATTTGACTTTCGTATTAAAGAAACTATAGTACCCAACTTTGTATTTTTTTTTGGGTCAGACCATCCGGTATTTAAAAGTCACAACAGACTTCGACTAATTCGGATTCGAGCTGGGTAGGACTACAACTATAGTATTGATTATTCTAAGTGTGTTCTCCATTTTTACTTCGACTATAAATTACAGATTTTTTAATATTTTTTTTATAATTTTTAAATTCAAAACATCTAATTTTACGATATTGTATGAAATTCACTCGATAACTTAATTTTAGTGCAAGGTTTGGTATGGTGGTTAGGAAATCAAATTGAAGCCCTAACTGTTCTGTTCCATTTAAAAGAGAAAGAGATTGGAACATGTTGGTATTGACATTGATGTTCAAAATTTAATACATGGTATTGCTGAAAATTGAGAGAGGATCTGTCAAATTTTGATTCATGCCATTTCGTTTTCCGCACATTAAAGTCAAATTGACCCAATCCAATGCCTTTTGATTTTATATCATCTCCCAAAATAAAAGCAATAGAATGTTGAATGACTAATTTGGATGCCTCTAACATTCTCTTATAACCCAAAAAAAAAAAAAAATTCTCTAATACCAAGTAGGGGTTGGATTAGGAATCTTTCGTATCAAGACCCCACTGAATTAAGAATCTAAATCCTCTCTAATATATATATATATATATATATATATATTCTCATATTGACACATCATTTATTATTAATGAGTGAGGAATTCATGTGTATACAATAAAACTCTCTTGAATGCATGGTGAATGATATATCAAGAAAAAAATTGAAGAGAATGCATCGAAAAGGATCTCAATGAAAAATAAAAAATAAAAAATATTACATAACTCCAATGTTAAAATCCAAATACATATAATCTTTTAGAGGAGTGCGGTATGAGTGGACCCACTGAAAAAATTGGTAGGACTTACTCATCAAAAAAATAATATGCATTTAAGTTATAATTTTTTGAATTTTATTTAAATTTTATAATATTACTCTAATAAAATAATATTATGAGTCGAATTGATTATACCTGCATTTCCAATGTTCTCTTCCCTTTTTTGTATTTATGATTTTATAAGAATTAAAATTAAAAAAAAATGAAAAAGGTCAAAAAGATTCCAAACTGAAGTGGTAAAATAGTATTGGGTAAAAAAAAAAAAGTGGTAAAATAGTCATTTTACGCGTAAAATAGTCCCATTGAAGAGTCTCCGACAAAATCTGTGTGAAAGGAGGTGAAACTCGTGAGAGAGAGAGAGAGAGAGAGATCTGGTCAAAGTTTCAAAGGGGAAACCAAAAGGAAGGAAAATCTTAAATTAGATTCTGAGCACCGAGACAGTCTTTGTTTGCCTGACATTACAAGACCGCCACTAAAAACCCTCCCACAGGAGCTCTATTTTATCTTTTCCTTTCCGCTCATCTATTTTGAATTTCTGACTTCCGCCGTTAACTAACGCCGAAAAATGGCTATATTTATAATCAGCAACGCGACATAATCGGTCTCGAGATTCGAGACACACCAATTAAATAAAACAGGAAAAATTAGAAAATTTGTTTAAAATCTGATGGCAAATATTTCATAAATAGATTTTTAAACAGAACCTCCGAATCAAATGACAATCACAGTGATTTGTTTTTTTTTTTTTTTATAAATATTATAATAGAAATTATTTTTTAATTTAAAATGAATTATATGAAATTTGTATTTGCATAGGATTATTATTAAATAATAAAAAATTAAAAAAGAATTCTGATAAGAGATAATTTTATCACTTATCATGAAACTCAAATATAAAACTACCCACAATAATCCGGTGTCCAAAGACAATCTACAATACTAAAAATTGGGTATTAATCATACAATATTTATATTTTTAATAATATATTTTTTTAATTACATAATTTAAAATTTAATTAAACGGGAAAAAAAGATGTAGACATGCATTAATAGGGTTGTTTGATATTAAAAAGTGTGTGATGCGCCATCTTTGTTATTATGTACATTGATCTTGACCGTTGATTTATTTTTATAATTTAAAAATTAAACTCGAAGATGTAATATTAGATAAAGGAGTGGATATAATTTCTAATTTATATAACAATAAATCATTTATATAATGGAGTCAAATAGAAGAAACCAAAGCATCTTATCTTGGATGGATATAATTTTTTTATTAGGAATTTTTTTATTTACTCATAAAAATATTTATTATATGCTGTCATGGTTTTTTTGGGTAAGTTATGCTGTCGTGTTAGTGCCGGTAGAAAACGGTTAAAGAAACGAATGACATTTATAAGATTGACGAAATTGTTTTGCCGTGCGAAAACATTCGCTTGTTTTAATTGAGAGAGAGAGAGAGAGGTGGGTGCAAGCTGGGGTGTAGCTTAAAGAGGAATTGAGGGAGAGAGAGAGATCTTGTCAGATCGGAAGCTGAACTGAGGGTAAAAATTCTTCTGCAACTCATCTCTCTGTGAATTACGGGTCTGTTCTATCTTTCTTGATCGGAGGGTTATGAATGTTTTCTGCAATGTGGTCCGATCTGTTCCCTTATTTGTTGTTGGGTTTCTTTCTCCCTTCTCTTTCTGGTGTGTTCAGGTGTTTTCTTTTGTATGCGGGCTTGGAAACAGGGTCCTGTTTACCATAGCTATATATATGCTTTCTGGCTATTTGACGTTGGGGGAATTTTTTTTTTGTTGAATTGTGTTGTGTGAGCGTGGGGTTGAAAAAATTAGAAATATGGGATGTGTTGGTTGATTTTATATGTTGGGTTTATGTGTGGGAGTTTTTGGTTAGATTTACTGCATATCTGTCAGCTTCAAGATATGGTATTCATTACGATTTACATATTGTCCGATTTTGTGGTAGTTTGTGTCTGATTTGTTTGTGTAAACTTTAGGGACATAATTTGAAGAATTATTAAATTTTGTTGTCAATTGATCTTGGTATTTCTGTGTGTAATAGCAGTCACTCTTTTTCCTTTTTTTTTTTTTCCCTTGGGCTCTTCTATTAGAGATGAAAATTTCGATGATCTTCTTTTCGGTTCTTTTTGATTTTTTCCCCTTAGAATCACCTTTTTAGTTAAATAAATTGACTTTTTGTTTATCGATTTCCTACATAATGCCGGTATTCACAAGCATCCTTCTTATATTTGGATTTGGCCTTCTGCAGGGTTGCATACTTTATTAACTAAAAATATTTAGCTTGATGTGCCCATTGAATATAGAATCTTCGTTCTTTTTATTTTTTACCAATTTTTGGGCATGGTATTTTGATTATTCGTTTGAGTTTGAAATTTCAAAACTATATTTTGACATTGGAAAGTTCACTTCGGAGGTTTCTTCTGCGAACTGTGTATTTGAATATTACGGTTGCCTTTTGATTCAAATCGTGTTTCATTGGGGAAATGGTCTATGACAATTTGGGATTTTTCCTTTTGGTGGTGGGGGGGCATTGGTGGATTAGTTGGATATTTTAAGTACAACTAAGTACAGTAAGTGAAGTTCGTTGGGTTGTTCAATTATTTGATTGAACTAGTCATTTTTTGATAAATGATCACTTTGTATATGTATCAATCTGTGTCCTGTGGCCAGTTGGATGTTTTTCAAAAGATATATACACTATAAGGCCTACGGTTTCTAATTAAGATCATTAAAGCAGGTCTGTTAAGAGTTTTCTGGCCCTTCCTTCTTGGTACGCAAATTTTAGTGACAATCATGGAAAACACAACGGATAAAAAATTTCTCATTAATGCTGTGTCTTTATGCACTGCTTTACTCCCTTCCAGTTCTTGTGGATATTTGGCTTGAGCAAAGATAATGATGGAGAAAGCATGGATTATATTTCATTGATTCATGAAAGAGGGTATTTGTAGCATGATCGTATTTAGTACATTTTGTAATATAAATCTGTTCTAACCCAATTTTTTTGCATGCAGAATGACATTTTAATCTTGTCTGTCTCATTAACTTTGAGTAAAGACTATTTTTATTTCCTGATACATTCAGCTGAAATAGATTGAGGTCGGTTACCTTCTTATGGTTAATTTTTGGGGTGTATGCATCTTCCCAGCATGTGTTCAGCTTGGAAAAGGATAGGGACATGCAGTTAAAGGTTACTGTGTTCTTTAGTTTTGATTTAGGGTGAAAATTGAGTGGTGTATTTCTACTTAATTGTAAAGCTAGGGTGCTATTTAGGACACCACTGTTGGACATACCCTTTCTTTATATTGGTGGCTCAATTTTCTTGCATATAGATGGATGGAATTGCTTTTTTTTTTTTGGCGCTAGGATGGCCACTTTTAGATTGAGAGGACTCGTGAGGAATAGGAATTGAACCATTTCTTTGCTCATGTTATTAGTAAGTTAAAAATTGTGCGTTGAATATACTAATGTTTGTCTCATACTCTGATAACAAAGCATCCGTCCTTTAATGTATAGTGCCGTGATTTGTGATGCTTTCATCTTGTTCTTATGCAGGTAGATGGGGAGGGATGTTGCAGGTTTACGCATTGACAAGCAGCCCACTGTTGTCAATGTAAAATCAAATGGATTCTCCCATGATAGAATTCATGTTGCTCCCAGAATTGCTGGTGAAGTTGATGAAACAAAGGACCATGAGGTGGAAGAACATAATCCTGTGAAAGACTCCTTTACTGAAGAATGTCATGAGAAGCAAGACATACTAGGTGTTAAAAGCGCAAATTTTGAGCCGGTCCTGCCTGAGGCGAGAACTCTGAAACCTGCAGCTCAGAAATCTGGTGACAAAAAGCTTAGCTCACCTGTTAAACCTGCATCGGACTCTGCTGCTGCTGGAAATCTGCAATCAAAGTCCCCTATTATTTCCCAGCCACCTGGCCTCACAACTCATAAACAGAGTTCAATTGTAAATCATGGTATTGGGGCTGAAACAGTTGATGCTGATGTGAGGTGTTCATCAAAGACTGATGAGTGGCATTCACCTAAGACAGGAAAGAAATCACAGGTATGACCATATCTTTATATCATCTCTTCCCCGCTTTCTAATCTATTAAAAATTTTGAAATTGTTGGCCCTTCTCAAATCAACTACATTGGATCGACCTAAGTTGATGACCCAACACAAGCCAACCGAAGCGTAGTTGTTTGATCTTGGGTTGGAGTTAAGGAAACTTGATTCATACAAAAAAGGGCTTGTATTCATCTTTCAGTTTAACATAAAACTGAAATGTCAACTAGCTGGGCAGGTTAGATTTGGCCTACAACTTGATGGATTGGGTCCATCTTGATATTTCTAAATCAGTAAATGCATTGAGGGAAACGAAAAGATCAAGGGACAACAATACAAAAAGCGAAGTGATTGTCATGCATGAAAGAACCTGAGACAGGCCAAATTATCCTGGCTCTTTCCACTGGCAAATTACGCTGTCTGCATCCACAATTTTTCATCAGTAACAGTTCTCTAAAAAATATGGCTTTTGATATTCTAGTTAATTTTCTTGAGCTAAATAAGAAATTTGTAAAAAAATAAAATAAAATAAGAAATTTGTATGGTTCGAGGGCAGTTTGAGTCTGTAAAGAAATAGTCATTAAATATAGATTCTTGATAAGAGTAATATTAGAACCAGTAGTTGATCTGGAAAATTTCGCATCTTGTACCAGCTAAACTCTCCTTCAGTGTCAAGGAAGCCACTGCAGCCTGATGACAAGAAATATCATCGCGAAGAAGATAGCTGGTCCGTGGCCTCATCGTATCCTCTGTGTACATTTGAGTCTTTACTGTCTTTAACAATATATATTTTAGAAAGTTCTGCAGTCATTTTGATGTTGTCTTAGTATTGGAAATATCCTTAGCCTTGCATAGAGCTGCAACCTCTGTGCGGACAGTCAAATCCAGGATTACTGTTCCAGTAGCTCCCACATTTAGATGCTATGACCGTGCTGAGAGACGTAAGGAGGTATTTTCTTCCTTGAATGTTGGATGAAGTGTAGCTGATTCTCAATCGGTAGCTTTTGAATTGCAGCACACTTTGAATTTTCTATCCTGAAGTATCTTCCTTTTTCTAGTTTTACTCAAAGTTGGGGGAGAAACACCAAGCTTTGGAGGCTGAGAAAATTGAATATGAAGCAAGAACCAAGGTATTTTTTTTTCCCCTGCACATTTATTGGACCTTTTTGTGGGATCATTTCTTTTTCTTTCAAATTGCAACTCAAACTTGTTCTCATGTTTTTGTTTGTCCATTTTAAATTCTAGGAGGAAGAGCAAGAAGCTATAAAGCAGCTTAGAAAGAGCATGGTGTATAAAGCAAATCCTGTTCCTAATTTTTACCATGAAGGACCTCCGCCCAAAGTTGAATTGAAAAAGGTATTCTGAGTTTCTCTCTTCCATTTCTTATGAGCTTAGAGAGGTGAGTTCTTAAGATATTACTGAAGATAGAAAGTTTGCTAAAATGACATACATGTGACCAAACAAGCAAGAGTAGAAATCTAAGGGACTTATTAAACTTTTCTGGAAAACTTCAACCACACCCCTTACAAATTGCCCTGTCTTCACAGACACCCCCTTGCATTATTTGAAATTTCACTAACACTCATTGTCAGTGTTTCTCGGATAAAGACAACTAGGAAAACCACATTTTTACTTTACTTATTTGCACTTAAACTTCAAATTTTACAGTCTACAACATCCTCCCCTCTCTCTATTGTGGCAAACATTGAACCAGTGTCTTTCGTCTGCTTTGTTCTCCCTATCTCTTTCTCTTTCAAGGAAAACATTGACCAAAACCACCACAAATTGCCATGTCTCTCTCACACACAGACAAAACAAATCGGAATAAATGTCTTCTCCCAAGTTTAGACATGCTTACTGTTCTAATTGTAGGTAGTTAATGTTTACTTGTGCATGTTTTTTGTTTTAGCCCTGTTATTTGAGACAGAGCAATGCACAATTTAACAAACATTTCTTAGACAAATAGGATTTACGGTTAATTTGACTGGATTGCAGTTGCCAGTGACTCGTGCCAAATCACCAAAATTAACCCGGAGAAAGAGTTGTGGTGATGCTGTTAACTCATCTCCAGTTGAAAAGGGAGTTTGTGCGAGGGCAACCCGTCACAGCATTGGCATTTACAAGGAAGGCAGTACTACCACCTGCACTCCCAAATATAAGGGTCAGTTCAGTGGATGGAATGTTAATGGCACTAGCAAAGTTAAGGACAGTCCCAAACAGGCAAAGGAGTCATCAAAAACAACTCCTCGTAAAGTCACTGAGCAGAGGAGTGCTGATATTGCAGTTCAGTCCTGAACGGTTAGTGTTTTTGTTATTATTTTTTATTTTTCCCCTTTTTTCTTTTGTAGCTGGAGAAAGTTACCTGAATTTCCTTGCTATCCATTTGGGTGTTTCGGAAAAAGCTAATGGACTTGGTGTTTCTGTTCTGTAATGAGCTGTTGAAATGGTGTCAATTCCGAATTGTATATTTTGTGTAATTTATTTTTGCGACATAGATGAGACGCCCTTCTAATGGGAAACATTTTGTTCCATCATATAATTACTGTATTACACATCTTGCTGGTGTTGATTGTTTGTTGGCTACCCCTGGAACGAGGAAACTGGATTTCTGATTAGATGGACCCATAGCCAATATGAGCTCGAAGCTTCCTTCTTAACTCCGAGAACTTTTTTTGTAGTACCTCTTTAAAACTTCCTACTTGTGAACGAAAAAAGAAAAGGGTTGGGTTGTATGATATTATTTCTCCATTATTTGATTGTATCGAAAGGGCCCAATGAATTCTTGCATAATCTCGAGTGTTATTAGTTCTGGAATGTCGAAATCAGTCCTGTTATTAAGCAATGGTTTCTTTGGAATATATATGGATGCAAGACTCTCTTATATTGCTGTGAGATCAAATTGATGCTTTTTGCAAAGCTTTTAAGTTGGAGAGGGTTGTTATGTGGACACACAATTTTCTCTATTTTCCTTTTCTTGGCATCCTGGAGGCACAAATGCACTGAATAGGCCATTGCATGTGGATGGTGATACCAATTGAACTAGTGTATTTTACTGACTTCTTCAGCATTTTTCATATATTTTTATTTTGATTTCCTTATTTAAATAGTTTTAATGGCATTAGAGGCTATAACCTACTAAAAAAAGATACTAGAGGCTAAAACAATTGGGAAAAAAAAGAAAAGAAAAGAAAAGAAAAGCCATTTGGTATGATCTCAATCAATTAAAGGAATTGTTCTGTATCCTGCCCTTCTCATGACATCTATTTGTGGGATATACTATATTAATAAATAGTTCTTAATTGTAGATCATAGTTTGAGTTGTTTATAGTCATTGATAGCTGAAATAATAAATAAAATAAAATAATAACAAATTAGAACTTTCCACATGTCATTAAAAATGGGATGACACTGAGAAGTTATTTTTTGGTATTAAGACTAACGCCTATTAGCAAATTAATAAAATATTATGTTTCTTCTAAGGATATGTTTTTGTGCCCATAAGAGAAAATAATAAATTATTATGTTTCTTTTAATGATGCAATTTTACGCCTATTAGCAAATTAACAAAGTATTATGTTTCTTCTAATGATACTTTTTTACCAAAAAAATTGCAACTTTCAAAACACAATTGTTGCTAGAACCAATTATGTACATGAAAAAATGGACCGAAGTGGATTGATCAATCGATCCCAAAAAATCGATCTTTCTTTTAGTTATCAGAAAATTGATCTCAATTTCTTTTTCTTTGATTGATCAATATGTGATAGTCTGAATCTTTATCAGTGTTATCAGAATAGAATCGGACCAGCTGGTTTGTTCGATTGGAATGTGAACCAAGCCTTAAGTTGGTCCAATTCTTGATTTAGACCGTATTGAGAATTAAACCGCCTGTGGACCGCTATAAAAAAATAGAGGACCGGATGGGTTGTTTGAACCGGGCGGTTTAATTTTACGAAATTAAAAAAAACTAAAATCAATTTTTTAGGCAATTTTCCCCTAAATCGAGTTCCCTTTTTTTTTTTTTTTGTGTTCTCTTCTCCAAACGCACAATAGCACAACAGCAGTGGACTCAATTCAGGCAATCGATTTCCTCAGCTCAGTGCTTCAACTTTAATATTGTAAACCAAAGCGCAGGTTGAACGAAGTAATATAATTCTCAGAAGACCGAGGTCGAACCCTCAAGGAATTGTAACAAGAAAACAATCACACAAATATTTAAACAAACTTAAAAATAAATGATTTGTTTAGGGAATTGTTGAACAAACAAAGTTGATTTAAATAATTAAAACAGTAATAAAAATACTAGAGAATCAGGTACTCCCTCTCAATTCCATACAATAATGATTAAAGACTCAAATCTTAACTTGAGACAAGAATCAGATGTCGGTTGATTCAAGTGAAAAAATCAAAAATTATAATCAAAACATTATTCAGGAACCTAAATAATCATTCAATTATATTATTTTATGAAATAATGATAATTACTTTAAGCGTGGAATAACCAGTTATTTACTCGTAGCAAATTCAAGCAATCGATGTACATGGTACAACGACTCAAGGATTTTTACATAACAAAAACTTTCCTAAGAAATCAGAAGTTAAATTAACAAAATATCATAAATTATTAAACTCATAATCAATAATATTACCGTACTTCATTGAGAGGTTCTCCCCTAACCCTAGCTTAGCCTTCTAGCCAGACATGATGAACTAAAAATCAAAACAAAAAGATGGGAAAAAGAATAAATAATCTATAAATGAAAACCCCTATTTATACTAAAAATAAATCCTAAATATAGGTAGAAGATATAAAGTTGGCTTAGAAGGAATTCCTTTTCCAAAAAGAAGTTTTGTAAGATTGCATAAAATCTTTGGGGCGCGGGTACAAAATCTATCCAAACTTCGAACTTCAATTTCACATATTTAGAGGTTGAATCACGAAAATTTTGTGAAATACACTTTTGTAACCCTTGAAATCTTATTTCTAACCCCTAAAACTCAAATAAATCAGATATTAGAGTCAAAAGTTATGACCAAAATACTGAAGACATTTCAAATCCTTATCTTCTAGGATACTTTCCTAATCCAACTCTAAATGAGTTTTCTTTGAACTTGGATTCTTATAAGAATTAAATTGCTGTCATATCTTCAAGTCTTTCTATTTCAATCTTGACTCTTCAATCTTTATCAATTATGATTCTTTCTCTAGTGATTGCTTCACTTGTCTTATCCATTATTACTTTAAATTAACCAATTTACCTGCAAAATAAACCAAATAACTAAAAAAAGTATCAAACTAGAAAATCAAAGAATTTAACACATTTTATCACAAATAATATGCAATTAATCAATCATTAAATATAATTAAATAGCAATTTTGATGGTTAATCACATCCCTCAACCTGAATATTACTAGTCCTTAGTAATACATGAATTATAAAATCTAAAAACTAAAAACAACATAATCTAATAAAATAAAACACAAATCCATTTTTGTAGGACTCACGATTGCATTTAACATATGCAATAAGCCTTTAAACCCCTAGATTTCCCATAGTGGATGAGTATAGTCTCGTGAAGATTTTTAGAGATGATACCCACAAACATCATTCTGTGATTAAATATCTGAATAATAATTTTATAACACAAATTGCTACCATAATATAAAAATTTCAAGATACAAGCCTTTATAATAAGCACATGCAAAGCAAAATATAAAATTCTACGCTATATAAATGTATATATTTATCATGTTCCCATATAAACTCGTGTGTAGTGTAAATTAACTATACCAAGTTAACAATTTGTTCGATAATCACTTCTACAACTATCAACTATTTGTCTCAATGGCAAATCTCACTAGATAATTCACTCATAAAAGATTCTCTCAGATTATAGTGACTATTCCCTCAAATATCACATGTGAGAAGAAAATATTTAAATCAAAACAAAATAATACTCACATATTCCATTAAAAAATCGTAATCCAAAAGTAAAGGATTTGACATAGTCTTATGAAAGAAAATTAACACACAATATATAAACAATCACCATTCTTTTTTTTACTCACACAAGTCATACATCCATCAATACACTCTTAAGATCAGATAGGTCTTTATTTAAGGTTGTAATGGAGCGTTGAGATTAGGGTTGTGAAATAAAGAATATTCAAGAATTCAAAAAAAATATCCCCAGAGAACACATATATTACACAACCAATCTTCTTTACATGACCTTTCACTCTTTACCCTTTAGAAGCACAATGTACAACATTTGCTCATATTTTCTCAAAACCATGCTTGCTATTCTTTTCTATCTCTTTTTTCTTTTCAATCTGCTAGATATATAGTCTTTCTCTTTTTTTTTTTCAAATTTTTTTCTTTTTTCTTAGCAAGACAACTGAATGAATATACTTTTTTTTAGCCAAACATCTAATGCAAGTATTCACAAGTATGCAATTTTTTTTTTTTCACAATCTTTGAACATCTTTTTCCAACAAACATCTCCCAAATTACATAAACAATAAAAAGCTCAATCTCGGGATAATTAAGGGTAAACGATATTATATTTTTATTTTTCATGGGCTTGGTTTTTATATCTTTGGTATAAAAAATAAAATTTTTCTTTAAAGACTCAATCACGGCTTGTAGGAATAATAATATTCAAAAAATTAGGCTTAGGCTCAAATAATATCAAAGATAACCTAAAATCATATCTCAAGAGTTTTTAATAACACACTTCGCATGCAAATAATTTAAAGTCAAACAATCATTCACAATGTTAGTGTTGATCAAAACAAAAAAAGGAGACTATTGAAAGAGATTAGTTGAATAAAAATATTCTTTATTGAGTAAATGTAAATAACCCTCCAAAAAAAAATTGGATCAAAACTCATCAGGGTTTTTATGTATCTCCACTATATGTGTCAAGTTCTCAAGGTAAAATACCTAATAAATTTTCAACTAGGTAAAGTTTAAAGTGCACAAATTGTGAATTTTTATAAGAACATGATATGAGATACAAAAATATAAAATAAAATTCAATGTGATGCTAAAATAGTTGCAAATTTAAAGCTAAACAAATTATTTCTATATTGTAGTGTCAAATTATGCATAAAAATGTTATTCAGATATTTAATAACCAACAATTTTTTTTTATATTTTTATATTTTTAGGAAAGTAAATAAACTAGAAAAAAAAACATAAATTAAGAATTTTTACAATACAAAACATACTCATACCCCCCAACCTAAATCCAACATTGTCCTTAATGTAAAAATAAATGATTTAATGCTCAGTAAAAATAATGAATAAAGATCAAAGGGATAGGAATACCTGGTGCTGCAACAACTCTAAAACCTAAAAATAAAAACTCAACAAACAAAGAAAACTATAAATTGAAACAAACAGAAAGGACACTAAAATTAAAAAAAATAATAAAATAAAATCTAACTATTATGTACAAATAAAAATAAAAAATCATACTTAATCCGGTTTGAAGTCAGCTTTGAATATATGCCATTTAATTTTTAATGGCTTAAAAATATGGTGTTGAAGTAACTCATTTAATCGAACTATCTACTCATATACCCAATATATCTTTTGAACATGTAAGAAAAGGGAGATATATGCATTTTTATGCAAATCTAACAATGAGATAAAAAATAAATTTTTATCAATTATGACACTCAACTCAACTTTTGTACCCTCACC